ATGGGGGGCCGTGCTGGGAGCAGGAGGTGGAGGAGGMTTCGTGTCTGGATCACATCAGGGCCCCTACTCAGTGGGAAATCCGGGATGGAGCATCCCTGGATGCGGCTCAGCCTCGTCCTCAGGCACACGGTGGGACTTTTGGGGGCGTTCTGTGCAGGGCCAGGAGTTGGTGATCTTCGGTGGTCCCTTCCAACTCGGGACATTCCATGATTCCATGATTCCCACAAACCTCTCCATCCCAGGTGGGAGCGGCGCCCGCCACACCCAGGGCCGGGATACCCATCACCACCCTCCTCTGAGCTCTCCCCTCTGCCTTTCCAGACGAGGAGCTCCCGACACTCCCAGGGCTCCCAGCCTGGCTTGGCCGACCAAGCCAAGCTCTCCTTCGCCTCGGCCGAATCCCTGGAAACGATGTCAGAAGCGGAGCTGCCCCTGGGCTTCAACAGGATGAACCGGTTCCGGCAGAGCTTGCCCCTGTCCCGGTCCACCAGCCAGACCAAGCTGCGATCTCCAGGTACCCTCAGGCTCTGCCAGGGGACCCGCCTGGCACCAAACACCCCTCCGTGTGCGCCGGGACGGGGCCTGGTTCCCTCCCCTCACCACCCTCTGCTCCCTCCGCCTCCAGGGGTCCTTTTCCTGCAGTTCGGGGACGAGACGAGGCGCGTGCACATCACCCACGAGATCAGCAGCATGGACACCCTGCACGCCCTCATCGTGCACATGTTCCCCCAGAAGCTCACCATGGGCATGCTCAAGTCCCCCAACACCGCCATCCTCATCAAGGACGAGTCCCGGAACGTCTTCTACGAGCTGGAGGATGTCCGGTAAGAAAGGAGGGAAGGAAGGCTCGGGAATACACCACAGCGTGGATTTTCTTTTCTTTGAGGGAAATGAGCGGGATGAGGCGGGAAATGGGGGTGTGGGTGCAGTGCTGGGACTTTCAGGGGGTGCCCGTCGGGGATGCTCAGGGCTCTGCTTCTCCCTCCAGCGACATCCAGGACAGAAGCATCATTAAAATCTACCGGAAAGAGCCACTCTACGCCTCGTTCCCAGCCTCCCACATCACCAACGGAGACCTGAGGGTAAGGGGGGGACACGGGGAGAGCCTGGGAGGTGGGTGCACCCAATGCAGTGGGGCCAGGAAAGAGAGAAAGCAGCAGAGGCTGGTAATTTGTGGCAGGAGGGATGACTGGGATTCGTCTCGCCTGGGGTCCGGAGTTTTTTAAGTGTTGCATTCAGAGGGTGGATGTTTGGGGGTAATAAACACGGTATTTAGGGAATTCATCAGGATAAATCCTCCTGCAGCCGGATGGGAAGGAGGGAGCTGTTGGTGCTTGGAGGGGTGGAGGGTCCCAGCGGGG